GTAAGAATAATACTTAATTGTAAAGTACAATAGATTAGCTGCCAATGCAGTTAAGCTTGGACTTACTGGATAATGCAGACGATGAGTAATTGTAATTTCTTTGTTTTCTTAGCATTATGTGATTTTCTTATCGTGACGTGTTATTTGTAACACTTAATTTTTCTGGTTTTATGTTTGTATCACGCCAGGCGATCTATTTGTATAATCTATCTTTATTAGTAAAATGATTTTCCGGAAATTTTGCTTGTGTTTCCCTGTAAATCGGAAGCACTGTGTAAGCCCCTAATTGGTGTCCGATTGCTGCAAACAATTTTAGTGACACCTAGAGTGGACTGAAAAATGTGATATGCACATATGTGCATATGTGTAAATTTTTTTCGTAGAACATATATGCACATATGTATATTAAATATATGGTCGCTTCTGTACGTATAATGAATGTCTTTATAACAAACCATAAAGGTTTAAATTTCGTATTAATTTTGTGTGGTAAATATGAACTCGGGAATAAACTTTTTTTTAAAATATCCGGTATATTATAAAGAAGACGTATTTTCGAAGAAATTATAAATTCAAACGTAAGTTGGATTCTTAGATATTTTGAAAATATCATAATTATTTATGACTTTGACTTTATATAGATTTACGTTGAGAGTATGTCAGATTGCCTAGACGTCAAAAGTGTGTAAAGATTATATACTTTTACGTCAAAATTATGTCAAAATCAAAGTGCAGTATGAAATATATCGGTATATTTATTTATTTACGTTTTTTTTTGTTTTTTGAAACGAAAGTATTAATTAGGTCATCGTTACTGAAAATGTAAATTTTTACAAGTTAATAACCCAAACTCACTTCGCATCTTTAATATAGTTGATATATGTATTATTAATAAAAAATTTTATATTAAAATAAAATGCGCATTGAGCAAAAATCTATTCACCATTTTAGAGATTTGTTTTAGTTGAGAAAGAATTTAATATGATATTTACTTGAAATTTATTATTTAATCTAAAAAAAAAAAAATTATTCGATTTTATTAAAATACATAAAATTCAATATACCAATCGAATTTTCTGAAAGAGCATGTCTTCTATCTGTAAGAATATTTTTATATACAGAGAAGCTTCGCTCAACATCAACTCCAGAAACGGGAAGCCAAATATAAACTAAGGCTATTTTTGACAAATTAGGAAGATGTATAGCCTTTTCCTTCCAATAAGAATCTAAATCGAATTCATTACTATAACTAAAATTCTCATCCAGCTTACAATAAATCCCCACTCATGTATAATTGTATGATTTGGGGTTTCAAATTCAGGAATACATTTATACAACCTAATATCTTGCCTAATTTGTTGCGAATGAAGAAACTGGGGGTTGAAACACCGAATTGCCTTAAATAAAGGTAAAGTAGGGTGTTGGTCAATGTGCTTTTTAAACTTATTTAATACCAACTTATATGCCTCCCGAAACCCATTTATATATTGTGAGGAATCTAGATTCGAAGTGCTAAATTTAGTTAGTATCTTATCATTAACAGGTGGATTAACAGTACCAGCTTGTAGTTGTGCTTCAAGTTGTGTTAAATGATTTGATACATAAGACGCCACAGGTTTGTTGCGAATTTTGAAAAATTCGAGTGTATTAAAAAGGCTAAATACAGTAATATAAAAATATTAATATTAATTAAATATATATGTACATACGTATTTATTTTTTTTTAAATCACTGTTACTATTACCTTTGTGTATTAAATGTAATGAATGCTGCTAAAATTTCAAACTCGGATACAAGTAATGCATTAATAAAAACTAATATTAATTTGTGAACCGCTTTGCCTTCATTACTAATAAGCTCTTCATTTAGATAAAAACTTCGAAGCTAGGAAATATGTTCATCGATCCAGAAAACAAAATTGAACCAATAATTCCATCTTGTTTTAACAGGAAATAGAGGTAAGGTTGACGATATATCAAGGTTTTGCGAATTTAAAAAGGAAATCCATCTTCTCTTGTGTGCATTGTTATGCTTAAATGAAGCTTTAATTTGCATAACTACTTCATCTAGTAACTTGAAATTTTTGTGATCCACCCATGTTTTGCAACGAGATTCAATATATGTGCCAAGCAGCGATTGTGTTTCATTTGTGCTATTAAAGGAGATAAAATACTAAATGCTTTTATCATGTAAGAGGCATTGTCTGATATAAAAAAAATAATATTTTCAAAAGAAATATTGTAAAATTGAAGGGTTTTTAGCACCAATTGCGCAATCGTTGTACTGTTAACAACGGGCAGATGTTCAGTTTTTACAAGTTTAGTTTTATTAGAAAAACTAAATAATATGTTAACTGCTGCTCTACCACAAACATCAGGTGATTCATCAACCATAATAGAAATTCGCTGATTTATTAAAAATTTCTTCAAATTTTCCATTTAAGACTCAAATGCGATAGGCAAATATTTACTGATCAATTGCGTAGATTCGACGATTGCACCACCTATAAAACAATAAAATATATAATTTAATAAATATATATTTTGTAATTATAATATATTAGAGGGCATGAACACGACGCCATAACTTTGTTATAATTACTGTGTTACAGCATTTTGACATAACTCAAATTATGGCATTGTGTTTACACCTTTAGGATTTATATATAGTATACTGTTCTTGCAATGTTTTAATAAAAATGGTTTAAGTTTATCAATTTTTTCAAGCGGAATGTTGGCTAGTGTCAAAGCATGAACCAGATCTACATTAATTATTTCACGTTCTTCCCGACAAGTGTTAGAATCAAAGATAATTTGACTTGTTCCTTCTGGATCTTTTGCTTTACATTTGTTTAATATATGCTTACTAGTGTTTAAATGTTGATCAAGTAAAAACTTGTTTCGGTAGTTTACTATAACTTTACAGAAAGTACAAAACAACTTTTCGTCATCGACGTGAAAAGAGTTTTTGTACTCTTCATTTTCATTAATACGATCACTTGGGGTAATCATTTTAAAAGAATCAAAATTTAAAAAAATAAAAACGAATTCATATGCTTTTTATTTGACCTTTATTTAATATCAACTAACAATAATAAATTTTATATTGTTGATTTCTCTAATATTAAGAACGAAACTAATTTTGACTTTCTGCTATTAAGAGCGAAACTAATTTCAAATAGTTTCAATTTATTTGGCATAGACATTAATACCTTATTTTGGCAAAGAATTTGAGTGAAAATATTATTATCATATTTATTTAGTAAATATAAGGTTTTAATTTTATCATATACTATAGATCGAATGAAACTATTTGAAATTAGTTTTGCTTGTAATATTATCTTTAAAGGTTTCGTAAAGCCATTCTTATTATTATATACTGCAGCACATATGTTCACATATGATCTATAAAAAAATGTACACATATACACATATTTATACATCACATTTTTTAGTCCACTCTAGTGACACCTAACGAAGATTATAAAATTTTAACTAAGAAATCGTGATGAGTGGCATAATTTGATCAAAAATAACCTGATGCATGACGATAATTATTATCATGAGGATCAGCACATGTTAGTCTATATGTAAGTGCATAAATGGAGAATTCATACGAAGTGATAATAAATCACGTGATCGAAAAGAGAAACAGAACCGGACACAGGGACCCAGAAAAATATTATTTTATATAGATCGATATTTTTTGGCCAAATTATAGATATATCAATATTTTTACAATTTTTTATGCAGTCATTTTGGGCAAAATTAAAAGTATAATTTAGGCCGGGAATATAAATTTGGCCCCTGAACTGTCGGGAAATATAGACAATCTACAAACAAAAATTTCCGTCAACTCCCCGAAAAACATGAACTTAGATACTGATCACATTATTCTATGTTACACTAAACCCTGGATTCTTACTGGTTAATTTTGAGCAAATCGATATAAATCGATATTTTTAACCAAATCGATAGAGCTGGGTCCCTGACCGGACGATCTACAGACATGTACCAAGTCACGTGAATTTGCACGTACCATATATCACGTGACTACATATCATTATAAATTTGCCTTTATGCACTTGCTCTAATAGTAATAGTAATTCATGCCAGTTTTAGAATAATAATTAAACTAGATTTGACTTTAATTATTTAAAATAACTCATCTTCGATTAATAGTAATTCAAGCCAGTTTTAGAATAATAATCAAACTAGCTTTGACTTTAATTATTTAAAATAACTCTTCAATTTTATACGTATTTATCAAGCCATTAAAATTTTTATTGAATCTTTTAAAGTAATTCAGGGCAATTATGGCATATATGGATGTATGTAACAATAAGCTGCATATAACAAATGAAAATAGTAATTTCTATGTATCAAATTACATATTCTAAATTTTCTTTTAAGTACTTATGTTCTTCTTTGTATTCCTTATAAAGTGAATAATTCTATCAAAAAAAACATTTTTCCACATTTTGCTTTGTTTAGAACATAAGTCTTCCCAGTTTTTAACAATAGAAGAAACAGAAACATTCAGTTTAAGTTTCATGGCTATAAAATGCTGTTTTTCAATAATATATGCAAATACAATTGATGAATTTCGATTAAGTGATGCATTATTAGGAAGAAATGCAAGAGAAATATATTTGCTAAATAGTGGACAGGTCGCTGAAAAGCAATATAGAGTAACAAAATACTACAATAATTAATAAATACTCTGGCTTTATAACATGATTAATTAATAAAATACTAGCTTAAAATATGTATAACATGCTTCTTATAATTTGAATTAAATAAATGCTATGATAAATTTTCTTCAAATTAATATCAATACATTTAAATTCTGCATTAAATTCTCTTAGTAATTTAAATGAATATTATGTTAAATTATTTTTGAATTAGTATAATTCAACTTTAGCTAAAATATGTACATCAATTGTGCACTTTAATTCAATATATGCCATGTTGATTACTATATAATCGTGAAATAATGCGCAGAGGTGTAATTTAAATTTTTGGTCTAAATTAAGCTTAATTCAGGCCAAACTTCAAAATAATGCCCCTGTGCATTATTTCACAGTAGTTAAAAACTTAATAAATATGAATAAATACTATGTTTTATTAACATGTGAATAAGAATACTTTGAATTCATATATTAACTAGCAATGCTACTGTGCAGGCGACTTTGTCGCCCACTCACAGTTTTGACCCACCTTATTATTATTTTTACAATAATATTGCGAGTTGCTGTAAAAATTCCACTGCAGAACTTAGTATGTAGTCAAGTTAGCTTGCATTAGTATTATTGCAATTTCTATTACACTTAAATATTCTGTTTAAAACTTACTCACTATTCTAGTGATATACAATAAGTTTAAGATTGTATTGGTACTGTAAAAAAACTAATAAGATACATAGTAGTTAATATTGAATTAGTTTATGTTAAATTAGTTTATATTGAATTAGTTTATATTAAATTAGTTTATATTGAATCAGTTTATATTAAAATTATTGTTATTATGGGTCATTGTAAAGAAATTTCATTACAATGCTTGCTATTCTGGTGATTACAATATGTGGCTAAGGCCGATTAGTTTTATTGAATTATTATTATTTCTACCATGGGTTATTATAAAAAAAAATTCTATTACAGAACTTATTATGCTCACAGTTAATTGAGTTTGTATTAAAATTATCAAAGAAATTACACCACATAAAATAAATTAGATAACAGGAAGACATAAAATAGTAAATGCTTAATGATAAATAAGTACTTCAGCATAGTCATTTTTTTTACAGATCATTGTTTGACATTACACAAAGGGTAATATATATCTGCATAAATGACTTGTAGAGAAAATACCTGTTGTGGTTGATATTGGTGCCCTGGATATTTGTAGCACAAGGGTCAGGAATAATGATCAGATCATAATTCCATTTGCATGAATGGTGAGGTTTGCATAGAATTAATTAAAAGTTTAAAATATTAATTATATAAGCAATGAGATAGTATGTAATTATCAGTAACACATATATGTATTAATAAATAGAGTATCGATCCAAATTGGGAAAGTGTCTAAGTTAAGTTTTGTACTTGCAAATAACTTTTATTCTTAGTAAATAAACTATATTACCTGTATAAGCATATTACAATTAGTGGAAGAACCTGTATAATACACAGACTTCAAAGAATAGCCAAGCAAGTGAAAACTGAAGGTAAAGACCTACCAGTACATGGTTATTTATCTAAAGCTATGAAAATAACATGCATCTTTATAGTGTTAGTTAGTTAGCCAGGTTAAAATAGATGCATATTTGAGCTTAGTATTTCTATCTTATCTAACCATAAGCAATACCAATCAGAACATATTATTTAGTGACAATAACAGTTCCAGGTGATACTATACATAGAGAATGCACAATATATTGTCTACTTTTTTTATTACACATTATACTACACAATTGAATAAATTAAAAAAAGATCAAATTCTTTTATTACAATTTTTCGCTATGACCTATAATGATTACTGATTATCAATTCATTATATTGGCAAAAAACAGAAAATAAAAAACAAATTCTAAAAAAGCTCAGAAAGTATAAAAATAAATATAAAGTAAAATAGATATACAAGCATAAAAAGGAAGGTTTTTAAATAGAATTAAGTTGTTTTTTAACTAATTCAAATTCTTTTTTTTTTTTTCTGCTAGTATTGTATCATATCGATATCATATAATATCTATATCTAAGATATATAAAAATGGCAGGTGTAAAAATTTCTTTTTATAGATTAAGAGAAAATTTTGGCTGCCGATCATATGCACGAATGTGGCACAAAATACAATATATAGTAAAAATAGAATACACTATATAAACATAAATAGTAAGGAAAATTATACTGCATAAACAAATTAGGCAAAATGAGCTAGTCAAAATAAAATTTCATTAAATAACTTTTATTAAATAAATCTCAATTAAATTGTTTATTATTATTGATAGTTATAGTACAATTGTCATAGTTAGTTTATAAAATTAATCATAGTTAATTAATTACAAATCATTATAGCCATTCTCATAATTGCAACCATCTCAATATTATATCTATAGTCAACTCTTCTTATACAAAATAAACAATTTATAGTAAAATTTTAAATAGTTATATTCAAATTTATAGAATAAAAATAAAGATGGCTTTAATAGAAATAGTTAAATTTATTAGATAAATTGTCTTATTTTTATTGAATTTATCACAATATACATATTTGGTATAAGAAAGACTGGCTTGAATTTAAAAATTGAGTATTAATAAAATTAGTTGCAAAAATATAGGCTTTAAAGATATATAAACTCTATAATTAAAAGAATTATTTCTAAATATCTATTAAAATAAAATTAGTATTTATAAAATAAATCTATTTATAAATTCTAATAAAATAATTAAAATTTGACCTAATCTTAGTACAATAAAGTGCTTATAGACTTTAAAGCTTTTTTTAATATTATAAATAGTTGTACTAAATATAAAAATATAAAGCTTGCTAATGAATTTGTAAAACCTAAAATAATAGAAAAATCAAATAATTTCATATATGCAATGATTATTACAAGAATTTAAAATGCTAAAAAGAGACAATTAAAAACTACAGAAATTGATACCAAGAAAATTTTTTTTCTTTTTTTTATCAATTTAGCGGTTATACTTTAACTTTATTAGACTTTGTATGAATCTTCGAGACTCATAAAATTTTATACTAAGCTGCATTTAGAAAGGTAAGTAATAAACTCTTAACTTGTCAGCAGATAGTATATAAGAACTTTCTCTAAATGACAAGTGCCATAGCATTAAACCTAATGTTTACCTAAATTACAAGTTAAAACTAACTTGGTTACCCCAATTGGTACCTATGTTTGACCTGCTATAGCAAGATTTCCCTCCTTCTGGACCTCTCCTACAATTGGATATAATCCGGCTCTCAACAGTGGACTTTGCCACCCATTATGACTATCTTCTCTTCTTTCAGACTTCTTCTACCTAAACCTGACAACACAATTAAACTCTTATTTGTACATAAAATAAAAATATAAAGCCATGTTTATGAAAGACATAAACATTTTAGAAAAAAATGCCTCATGGCAATTAAAAAAAACAAAAACCAAACTAATATTCCTAAAATAATCTAACATAAATGAACAAAGATGAAAAAAGTGAAAAAAAAAATAGCTATTATACACTATTATAGCCTGTGCCAGGCATAAAGATAATAATTGCAACTAATTACTATATCTTATTCTGGGCACCAACTCGACTCAGGTATTTCCTAAATAGGGATAATAATCTTTTTCTCATACCGTAGCAATGTATTGATAAACAAAACAAACACATGGTTGCATTCTACTGGGTTGTCTGAATTAGGTAGGTGTAAACAATACTGATTTTTTGGAGGGGGTAAGCTAAAATATCCACCTTTTTGTCAAAATTTTTGGTGAGAATGGCAAAAAGCAAAAAACACAGAGAAGACCACTAGCATATATTCAAATAAGTGTGAGTTCTAAAGACTTCAATAGATATTTCACAAGTTTGCACAGTACTAAGTTTTTTCAGTAAGTGATAAACTCTGGGCTTGTCAGCAGATAGTGTATAAGAACTATCTTTAAACTACAAGTGCCATGCTGCCATAAGTGATAAACTCTAAGCTTGTTGGCAGGTAGCATATAAGAACTACCTCTAAATAACAAGTGCAGTTCTTCTTACGCCCTGTTCCCATGTCTTATATTTTTTTTGCAGTATATTACTGTTTTTTAGTTAAAAAGTTTTTCAGAAAATATGGTCCAGATGATCATCAGAAAGAGTTGTTGTGGATACCAAGAAAATAATCAAGTAAATTTAGATAATTTTAATACAATTAAGCCTAGTAATCTTTGTAGCTATTTTGTCTAACTTTTAAATAACTATTTAGTACAAATAAATAATCTATTTCAATTCTAATATAATATTAACATATCAATATTTGACAAATGGCCAAAAGAAATAGCAGAAGTTTTAGTTAAATTAATTAAAAATATGAACAAATTTAAATTTGTATAAATATATATAATATTTTATATAACTTACTTTTTCAGGTTTACTAAATCGCACCACTGGTGCTCAATACCACAATGATTTTCACCAATCAAACTATTTAAACACAGTGTAATATAAAGATCAAATATAATATAAATTTTTGTTATTTTGCTATTTTTTTAAAAAATATCTTTTATCTCAAAATTTTATCTATAAACCTACCTTTTTTTATAAAAAAAAACCTTTTTGTAAAATTTTACTATATTCTATATTTACCCTAACCTTAACTATTAACTCTAATTTAATATTTATCAAATTTAATATTTGTTTATATTTGTTTTATTTATTTTTTAATTTATTTTAATATTATACCACATACTGGTGTTGAGCACTAGTAGTTTGATTTAGTATTATTGTACTTTTTAAATATACTTATTAGTCAATCAAGATGTTATATATAATTTTTTATCTTATGATTTTTATAGATTACATAAATCAATAAAATCATATTTTTGAAATTTTCTCCCCAAGTTTTAGTCACAATATATAATATTTTTAAAACAAATAGGTTGCCAGAGCTTCAATAAAGCAAACAGTATAAAGAATATAAAAAACTAATATTACTAGATATTGTAAAACCCCTTCGAAGATAGATAATTGTATTGCCTTCTTTTTCAAGATTCTTTTGAAGTTTTTAAGATCTTGATATAAAAAATAGATTGTTAGTTGCACACAGGTGAAAACTTTCTGCAAAATGCATTTTTGAAAGAAGGATATCTTATAAAAATATAAAGTAAATTAAGAAAAACTATTTTATAGTATATAGATTGCAATTTACTAATAAAGTTTTTTCTTTTTTTAATATATAGCAATTTATATTCATGATAAAATTATATTCTTCAAT